TTCCCCCGAGATGGATTCCGGCTCTACCCTTCACCAGAAGTACTGTTTCTGAAGTCTGTGTTGCCTTTATTGTTAGCGAATCCCATGGCATCAGTACGGCTGCTTGACAGAATGTGAATGCAGCACTGAATCCTGGGGCTTTCATGCTCCCCGATCACCTCCGTTTCCTTCTCAAATTCCTGCCACCCCTTTTCGGTCTCCCCTGTGCAGGTTTTCTTCTATTAGTTTATGTTGATGCCCAGAGCCCTTCTCTCGCTCCAGGAATGTGCCCCAAGCAATCCTGCCTATGGCTGACATTTGTATACAGAGGAATTCTTGTGCTAGAGGTCCCCACTACCACCTTCAAACTCAGTAATTCTCTAGAAGGACTCAGAGGACTCAGACAATGTGTTATATACTGTGAGTATGGTTTATTTCAACCAAAAGATACAGATCAAAATCAGCAACGAAGAAGAGGAGCACGGGGCAAAGACCAAGAAGAGTATGGCCCCGGTTTCCAGGTGTCCCTGTGCAGTGCAAAGGGACACAAGGACACGTTTAACATTCCCAGCAGTGATGTGTGACAACACCTGTGAAGTGTTGCTCTCCAGTGAGGCTCTCCTGAGCCACAGCGTGCAGGGCTTTTACCGGAGATCAGTCACGTGCACGTACCGTACCTATGCACCTGACCTTGGCTGCTCACCACCCCACTTCCTGAGCCATGACGAAGGTTCCCCACTAACCACACTGCCAGGGCAGGCATATCTGGCCAGACTGGTACAGCATGGCATCAAGCCTTAGGCATACAGAAGCCTTCTTCGCAAGCAGTCCCCTCTGTGGGCGTTGAGGTCACCTGCCAGGGGCCTGCCAAGAGCCCGCCTTGACGACAGGCCCTTCTCGGTGCTGTGTAGGGCCTGAGTAACCCTCTCTTGTTCACATCTATATCCGTATCTTTAACTTTTAAATTTCTCGTTTTTATGTCTGATTGCTATGGGACATCTCAGTTTTAGTGTGTCGTGGGCCATTGCAGATTCAGCCTGTGCAAAACTGATTACAGCATGTTCCACTGTTACTTATCCTTATTTTCCAGATGCCCATAGGCGGTCTTGACTTTGCTTATATCCCCCCTCATCTAGGATGTTACCATTTCTAATAAAATTAACCATTATAAATAACACCAGATCTACTTCTCCTCATTCTTTCTGCCGCTTCCCTACTCCAGGTTGTCTATACCACGTACTGGAATTATGAGCTTCCATCTGGAATTTCTGCCTCTAGTGTGTGGTGTTTTGTTTTGTTTTTTTTTTCCATTTAATATCTTTATGGAGGTATAAATCACATAGCATAAAACTCACTCCTATAAACAATTCAGGAGCTTTTAGTATATTCACAGAGTTCTGCAACTGTCACTTTAACCTAAGACCATTTTTATTACCCCCCCAAGCAAACCTTGTAATGAGCAGCAGTGACGCCCCATCCTCCTCCCTCTCTGGGCAACCACTAATTTACTTTTTGCTTTTTTACACAGCCTTTATGGAGATATAATTCACATCCCATACAATTCACCCATTTAAGGTATACAGTTGACCGGATTATAGCGCATCCATAGTTACACAGCCATCACCACTATCTGTTTTAGATTTTCATCATCCCCCAGAGCAAGCGCGTCCCCATGAACAAGCACTCCCCATTCCTGTCTCCTGCCATTCCTCATTCTGTCACGTGCCACCATTAATCCACCTCTGTGGGTTTGCCAGTTTTGGACATTTTGTGTACAATAGCACAAAATGTATGGTCTTTTGTCCTGCCTTCTTTCATTTAGCATACTGTTTTTAAGGTTCATTCAGTTGATTTGTCATTGCTGGATGATATTCCATTGTATGGATGTACTGTGTTTTATTTGTGTGTTATATGTCCGTTTATTAGTCAAGGACTTTGGGGTTATTTCTGTTTCTTGGCTATTATAAATAATGCTGATGTGAACATTCACATACACATTTTTGGGTGGACGTATAGTCTCACTTTCTTGGGTATTACCTAGGAGTGGAGTTGTTGGGTCACTTGGTAACTGTGTTTAACAGTTTTGAGGCACTGATGACTGGTTTTCCCGAGTGGCTGGACCATTTTCACTGCCACCAACAAGGTGTAAGGCTTCCATTTTCTTCAGTGTTCTCTCAGTCACTACAATACCCTTTGTTTAAAGAAACTATTTGAACATCAATCTACAGTAATTTATGTCTGGGCTCTCAATTCTATTTTATTGATCTTTATGTCTACCCTTTGAGCCAGTAAGTACTACACAGTCTTTTTTTAAAATGTTTTATTTATTATTGAGAGACAGAGCATGAACAAGAGGGGAGGGGTAGAGAGAGAGGGAAACACAGAATCCAAAGCAGGCTTCGGGCTCTGAGCCGTCCGCACAGAGCCTGATGCGGGGCTCGAACTCACAAACCATGAGATCATGACCTGAGCCGAAGTCAGACGCTTAACCGACTGAGCCACCCAGGCGCCCCTACACAGTCTTTATTTCTGTAGCTTTGTAGGAAGTTTTGATGTGGGAACATAATCAGTCTTCCAACTTTGTTATTCTTTCTTATAATTGTTTTGGATATACTAGGTCCCTTGGATTTTCGTATATAAGTTTTAGCAAAGAAACCAGCTGGGATTTTTGAGAGGGTTTTCCTTGATTCTGTAGATCAATATGGGAGGTGGGAAAGCAGAGTAGGAATATTGTCCATCTAGCCATGAATACTGGATATCTTTCCATTTACTTAGATTTTAAAAATTTTCTCCCAACAATATTTTGTAGTTTTCAGTATATAAATGTTGCTCTTATTTTGTTAATTTATTCCCGAGTATGTTATTCTTTATGATGCTACTCTAAATGGAATTTTCTTAATTTTACTTTTGTGTTGTTCATTGTTAGTGGAAAGAAATAAAATCGATTTTGTATATTGATCTTATATCCTGCAGCCTTGTGAAACACAATTATCGACTCTAATAATGCTTTTGTGGATTCTTTGTGATTTTCTTTGCATAGGATTATGCCATACCATATATGAACAAAGGTGGTTTTAGTTCTTCCCTTTCAATCTGAGCACTATTACTTTTTTTTTCTTACATAGTTGTCCTGTCTAGAATCTCGAGTACAATGTTGGATAGATGTGGTGACAGTAGACATCTTTGTCTTGGTCTTCATTTTTGGATGATTCTTTTAGTTTTTTATTATTAAGTATAATGTTAACTGTGGGTTTTTTTATAGTTTGTTGAGTGTTTTTATCATTGAAATGTATTGGATTCTTCTCTCAAATGTTTTTTCTCTGTATTAAAATGATCGTTTTTTTTTTTGTTTGTTTGTTTCATTCTCTTCTTATGATATCACATTAGCTGATTTTTAGGTATTAAACCAAAATAGCAATTCTAGTATGTTTTACTTGGTTCTTATGTATAGTCCTCCCTTTTATCTTGTTTATACTGCTGGATTTGGCTTTGTAATTTTTTGAGAGCCTCCGCATTTATATTCATCAGAATATTCATCTATAGGTTTCTTTTTTTGTAACGTCTTTGTCTGTGTTGATACCCGGACAATACTGGCTTTGTAGGAAGAGTGAGGGAGTGCTCCCTCCTCTTTAATTTTTTTGGAAGTTTGTAAAGTATTAGCGTTAATTGTTTGTGGAATTCACCCTTGAAGTCTTGTGGGCCTTCAAATTTGCAACACATTTATTTATCCGGTACTAATTTAGTCTCTTTGCTTATCTGTTCCAATTTTCTATTTCTTCTTGAGTCAGTTTTGGTAATTTGTGACTTTTTAGGATCCATCCATGTCACGGTGTCATCTTCGTTACCTAATTTGTTGGCATACATGATCATAATTATTTCTAAAACACAAATCTAGGTATGCAGCTCTCCTCCTTAAAACTGTTAAATGCTTTTTAGTACCCTTAGTTCTAAACCTTTAAAGTTATACTTAAAATGACTTGAGGTTTTGTTGAATTTGGTTTCTGCTTTCTACTCCATGTTGAGACCAGCCTCCCTGTACACTACCCACCCCCACCCAAGTTGTTTCTTTATTTCAGCCATGTAGCACTTCTTCCAGTTCCCTACACACCATTTCTTAGGGTCTGAAAATACGATTTTTTCCTCCCATCTAGAGTATTTTATAGCCCCTCCTCTGGTAATTAGTTCCCACTCATACTTATATGACACATCTTATAGAGAACCTACTCTTACTACCACAGCTTAAGTTAGATGCCTTTCCTTTTTGACCATTTAGACCGAACTTCCTTTCTATTGTGAAGCAGATGACTTTTGTTTATTTATTACATGTCTTTCCTGATGATTGTTGAATGGCGTTGGAGGTATTAAGGAAAGGAGGAATCAGGGATCGCTCCCAGAGTTCCTCAGATGAATATTTAGAGAATAATGTAAGACAAAGAAGAGCAAGCCTCCAAGTATAAAATGTATTCAGTTTTGAAAATGGTGCCTTTTTCTAGTAGAATATCCAAATGGAATTGTACAAAAAGAATGTGTACATGTGGCTCTTAATTTTAGTAAAGCTATCATGTTGTATATATGCCTTCCTCCTTTGTTAGATTGTAAGCTCATTGGCTGCAGAGACCCTGTGGCTTGCTTCTCTGGTTTTGTTAGTTTGCACTTCACAGATGCTCAGTAACTATGAGTTGAATTGAGTTGTAAATAACAGTGCCACGTGTCTGTCTGTATATGGTATCTTAATTTTATTATAAATATCTCACTTGGAAAGTATGCCCCACACAAGGAGTAATGGCTGACTGTAGAAAATTTTAGCTTGGGGAAATTGCTGGGGTTTTTTGTTTTCTGGTTTTTTCTTTCCTTTTTTACAATCGATTGATGCGTTTTCATTTCCACAAACTCAAATCTTACGAAGTCAGCTATTTTCCTTGCCTTTTTTTTTTCTATTAAATATTGTTATTTTTCTGGTCCTAGGTATGTTTGTATTTTTCACATGAGGTGAATCATGTTGTCTTCTGTCTTCTGTGTAGGACTATAATGATGAAATCAGGCAAGCACAGCTCCAAGAGTTGACGTATTTGAATGGTGGTTCAGAAAACGCGGACGTCCCAGTTGTTCGAGGAAAACCCACCTTGCGTACAAGAGGTGTACCAGCCCCAGCAGTAACCAGGTCGGTGCAATTAATTGACTTTACTTTTGTCGTTGTTAGAATTGGGTACCATGGCAACCGTTTTAACCTTTTTTTTTTTTTTTTTTTTTTTTTTAATTAATAGTCAAACAGCTCTATCAGTGTATCAGTACAGAGCCTTTAAGGATATATTCAGACATTATGATGTCATATTGAGGGGATTCCCTTTGTTTGAACTGAGATATTCCTGGGTTTAAACATAACCTCTACTACTTACCAGCTGATGACTATAGACAAGTTTATTTATCACTCTAACATTAAGTTTTTGATTGTTTAAAATGAATCTTATTTTATTTTATTTTATTTATTTATTTTTTTAAATTTTCAACGTTTATTTATTTTTGGGACAGAGAGAGACAGAGCATGAACGGGGGAGGGGCAGGGAGAGAGGGAGACACAGAATCGGAAACAGGCTCCAGGCTCTGAGCCATCAGCCCAGAGCCCGACGCGGGGCTCGAACTCACGGACCGCGAGATCGTGACCTGGCTGAAGTCGGACGCTTAACCGACTGCGCCACCCAGGCGCCCCAAAATGAATCTTATTTTAAAGTAATAGCACTGATAATGCAAATTGAGATAATGGAAGCAAGGGCTTTCCCCATGGAATACAAGATTAGGCTGGTTCATTGCCACATCTCCAGTGTGGAGCACGATGTCAGGCACGAAGTGGGGTGTCCATGAGCTTGTCATTTTATTCACTGGGAATGCCCTGTGGTATCTGAAAACTCCCGAGTTGGTCCACACACACAGAATTTTTTTTTTTTTTGTCTCTGGATTGATGACTTTTTAATATGAAAATGCCTAGTGAATTCATGAAACAATTTAAACATAACCATGTATTGAGAAATGGCTGTCTCAGATTTATTTGAGAATTATTTTTAATTTTTTACCCAAAAGAAGAAGTGACACAGATTTTTCACTGGTGACTATGTATATATATTATATATTTTTTTCAGATAGAATTATGCATGAAATAATTTAAAGTAGCATTCTTTTATGTCTCCAAGTTAATTTGAGACAATAAAAAATCAGTCTTTTTATTTGAGTGTTGTTGATCAGGCCCTGGTCAACGAGCACAATTACAAATAGACGTTATTGCAGTGTGAAATAAACAGATCTGTTCACGGTGCCAAGTGGGTTTTCTCTATAAGAAAAGGCTAATAATAATGGGATTGCTGTTGATGGTTTAATGAGATAATTTATGTGAGTGTTCAGTCAGTGGTAAATCCCTTTCGTTTTCATTTCTTCTGTCATTACATTTACTTCAAATCATAAGAAATTACAGTTGACCCTTGACCAATGTGGGGGATAAGGGCACTGATCCCTCGCATAGTCAAAACTCCATGTATAACTTTTGACTCCCTGAAAACTTAACTCCTAATAGCTCACTGTTGGCTGCGAAGCCGTAACGACAGCACAGTTGATTAACACGTATTTTGTATATGTATTAAATACTGTATTCTTACAATAAAATAAGCTAGATAAAAGCAAACGTTGTGAAGAAATTCATGAGGAAGAGACAACAGTAGTAGTGTAAATGTATTATTTCTTGAAAAAATCCACACGTCAGTGGATCCACACAGTTGGAACCCATGTTCAAGGGGCAACTGTCCGTCCTTGCTGTATTAGCTTCCTGTGGTAGCTGTGATGAATTACTCCAGACATGGTGGCTTTAAACAGTAGAGATTGATCACAGTTGTGGGGGCCACATGTCCAAAATCAGTATTGTTGGACCACAGTCAAGGTGTTAGTGTCCCCCCTCTAGAAGAGAATCCTTTCCTTGTCCCTTCCAGTGTCTCGTGCCTGCTGATCTTTCTTGACTCGTGGCCGTGTGCCTCTGGTGTCTCCCTCCACCTGCGTGTTGATTTCTGTCACATCTGTCTTTGATCCCCGTGTGCTTCCCTCTTCCCTGTGATGGTATTTAGGGCCTATCTGGATGATCCAGGGTACTCTTCCCATCTCAAGATTGCCCGATAATCACATCTGCAAAGAAAGGCCCTTTTTCTAAAGAAGGCGACAGTTGCAGAACGGGTGTCCAGAATAGAGAGCATAGAGAAGAGCGCACACCCAGTGCCACTGTTCATGACACTTCTTAGGGATGCTGTGTTCCTTAAACCACATCTACCGTTTTTACAGAAGATAATTTCTAATTTAGTTGTCAGGTGTTGAATTAAGTTGAAAATGTTAGGAACAGATGAGGAGGGCAGAAGCTCTCTGTTTTGTGGCGTATGGTGTCTGGAGAAACACCACAGGCCGCCCAGATGAAAAACTGTCCCTCTTGATGACAGCATATAGGCCGGTTGCCTGAGGCTCTCCATTGTCTTGACAGGTAATGTTCTCTGATGCAACCCTGCGGTAGTTTGTGGCGGGGTAATGGCTGGTCAGTGCGTGGCTCTGGGCAGAGCTTTCTCTCCTGCATTTGTTTATGGGCTTCCTCGGTACCACATCTTTCAAATACCCTGCTTTTTTCAGTGTAAAACCCCTGTTCCTAGAAGAGGTACTCGAAACCCTTCTGTATTTTTTCTGAAGACCTCGCTCCACATGTCTGTATTGATTGCTCTGCCCTGTTTCCTGTGTGTTCAACCCTGGGCTGGAAACGGCTTGTTGCATGAAGTTGGAGCTCACGCCCTTTCCTGCCTTTGCCCACATTGTTCACTGTTCTCTGCCCAGAGTTCTGTGTCTTCTCTCAGCCCCTCACTTGTTTATAGCCTACTTATCTTCGTGTCTCAAACCGAAACTCATTTTAACAAACGCCTTGCATCTACTACTGAGGACTGTTCTCAGCACTTTACAGGCAATAACTAGGTCAAGCCTCATAACAACCCTGTGAGGTGGGTGCTGTTATATTAACTCACCATTTTACAAACAGGGAAGTGACTACTTGCCCAAAGCCAGCCGGCCTGGGGCGCTGGCAGCCGGGTTCCAAGTCCATGCCCCTCCCCTCTCTTTAATCCTTCCTTTGCATTTTCATCTACAATCTGTTTCTTCTTCCATCCATTCTCCCACTGCATCTCTTCCGCACAACTTTGATTCTGTCACTTACATTGTATTCTTACTGTGACACATGGCGGCATTTTTTTTAATAGAGTTACTTTTATTTTATTTTATTTTATTTTATTTTATTTTATTTTATTTTATTTTATTATTTTTTTAATGTTTATTGATTTTGGAGAAAGAGCCAGAGTGTGAGTGGGGAAGGGACAGAGAGACAGAGGGAGACCCAGAATCCAAAACAGGCTCCAGACTCTGAGCTGTCAGTGCACAGCCCCACATGGGGCTCGAACTCAGGATGGGTGAGATCATGACCCGGGCTGAAGATGGACACTGCACCAACGGAGTCACCAGGCGCCCCCGTGATGGTACTTTTAATACAAGATGTGATGAAAGTACATCTATATATATATATATATATATATTCTACTACTTTTCCTCATTAAATCACACATCATAACTTGTGCATCTCCCAGAATAAAAATAAATGGATGTGGAAACCAGGATAAAAAATTACGAAAATTCCAGGGGTAAAGTTAGTACACAAGAGTACGTGTTATTCCGGACAGTCGCAGAGATGATCTTCGAATTGTGCTTTGAGCTTCCTTGTAACCAAAGCTGAGGAAGACAAGGCTGTGGAATTCACTGGGTCTGAATATCTAAAAAAGTAATAAAAGACAAACATGCTCATTAGAGCCAGTGCTTCCTAGTCCTGAAACTTGTGAGAAGTGTCCGCAGTGCACAGTCCCCAGTAGATCTCTGCCACAGCCAGTCCCTCCATAATGCCATTTGGATTCTCCCTCTAAAATAAGTCTGGTTTTCCTTAATCACCTCGTCCATCCTCCCTAATCTGGCCACACTGCTCGTCCGGTTTTCATTTACAGTCTTAATGACTGGTTAAAATCCAAGTTGGTTTTTGTCTTCTCCCTGCTTCAGTTTCCTCGGTGGCTCTCTGTGCTGTTACAGGAACACCCGAACCTCCTGCCGGGCTCGATGACAGGCGCATCATCATCTGGCACTCTCCCCGCCCTTTCTGACCTTGTGGTTTTCCTGTACTGTGGCCAGGCTGCCCTCCTTCCTGTCTGGCAAACTGGCCAAGCTTATTTCCCTCTCATGCCCTTTACATTCACTACCCCGGCTCTCACCTCGTCCCTGGGGCACCCGGTCGGTAGGCAGACACAGGCATGGTATCCGAGAAGCCTTGCTGATCACCTTGTTCAAAGTCACCATCCCCCAGTCCCAGAGCTGGTCTGCAGCATCCTGTCTGGGTTCCTTAGTAGCATTTACTAAACTGAATTCCACCTTTCTTGTTTGTTCCCTTTTTCATTGGTTACTCCTCATTATAATGTAAACCTGCAAGGGCTCTTGTGTCCTAGGACCTGGCCTAAAGTAGTCACTCAGTAAAAAGCTGTTAGGTGAATACAGTACAATAGCAGGTCCTTTAGGCTCATTCTGGTCAAGTGTTGATCATTCAGAGTATTTTGTGTTAATATAATTCGCTGCCACCTGACTGAATGTACTAGGGGATTAGCTTTGCAGGGGTGGTCATGTGGTTATCACCATTTTGGTATTTCAGAGTGGAACAAGTTATTACGAGAGTCTTCATGAATGTTCCCCACTGTTACCACTTTAGGATGCATTTCTGCTGAAAGATGTAAATGATCTAAAATTAAATCCTGCAGTGGGAAGTGATATGTGTTTTAATAAAACCTTTCCTTTCAGTTTCAAATGAGAGAACTAAACTTACACCTTTTTTAACTTAGGAGGTAAGGAAGCTTCTTTATTTCCAGTCCATCCTGCCCAGGGCCTCCAGAAACCCTGCCGTGAGATGCCTCCTCCCTAGCTCTTTGCACGGACCCCAGCACAGAAGGAGGCTGGAGAGTTGAGGCCGCTCTGGGCAGCATGCTTTTGGGCCGGTCTTCTCCACCCTGGCCGCCGCCAGCGGTCTGAGCTGAGCCGCCCTGACCTCGGGGATGCTCCCTTTTATCCCTT